GGAATGTTCTTATCATTAAGATCAATAATATAAGGTATGTCAATTCCCTCTATTATAGATTTAAGAAATACGCCTTACGTGAAAAATTTTCATATGACTCGCAGATGATATGATTTCGATGGTTGTGTTTTTGTTGAAAAGATGAATTCCTCACAGGGTGGCACTGAATTCCATTTAACAATATTATTAGACGTCGAACTTTATAGTACGCCTTTGAAAAAGGTCAATTTTTCAACAAAATTTTTATATCGCTATTTGAAATTGAATAAAAAAATCGAGGTTCAATAATGCAATTGATTAAAAAAAAAAAAAAAAAAATGATAGAAAAATATTATATTGACGAGTTATTATCCTTATTCTCGCGTAGCCGTTTTCGTCTATAAAAACGGCGGTACCCTTTTCTCCTAAAAGATTTAGTGGAAAAGTCTTATCTTCAAGGTGGCCATTAAAAATGTTAACAACAATTTTTAAATTTTACCGAATTTGGAAAACCGGTACCAGCAAAATTGGTTCGTGCGTTCGGGGTACGCTTTTAGTATTCATACCAATCAGAGCGGATCGATTTAATTTAAAGGCAAGTATTCGTGAATGTACGTCTGTTTTTTTTTTTTTTTATCGGTAATGTAATTTCTAAGAGAAGAACCCGACTCAAATGTCTGTACAGGGGGATTGATTCGTCCGTTCAGTTGAAAATATAAATAAATGTATAAAGATGACGAAGGCCGCTTTTTAATCTCGAATATATAAGTATCTAAAAATGTATATAATACCCATCTCGTTCGTATTGAGTAAATCGAAAAGCAATATTGCACCGTGTTCTAGATAATACCGTAATATTATAATATCATATTATAATGTCGTTGTCGTTAATTTCCAGTGAAAAAATATTCTCGAATCACTATAATATCTGAAGGGGACTTATATATTTTTCGCCCGTTTTTCAAACGAATTTATTAATGATTGTATACACATTTGCGAATATACAAACGGACGATTGTGACAACAAGAGGACCGCTTTTGCGTTTATTCTAGCAATCGGTTCGAACGTTTTTCGAGTCGATCGGTTTTCGGTTTTTTTTTTTTTTTTAACCCCAAACCTCTTCAAAAAAAAAAAATAGCCTTCCCCGCGTTTCCTCTCGAACGAGCGACGTCCATCACCAGACATCCGCGTTATTACGTCGTATATGTGCCAAACAAAACCGAATTGACGATACGTCATATAAATACATATACTAACGCGGAACACGTGCACTCGTCGCCAATTATTATCGAGATTTTCCAAACGACCCCGGGTACGTGTACGGGAGAAAAAAAACGATGACACGAAACGCGGATATTAGCTTCTCTGCCCCCCCTCCTTATCCCCATTGCGTGTTAAGTGGAGTCGTTTATTTATTTAATTTTTTTCCGGAGTTATAGGTTTTTTTTAAAAAAAAAAAATATTTTGTGTCTATACCGCGATAATAATATGACGAGTATACGTGTCGTCGGCCCGGAGGCCAAAACGCCGAAAAAGCGCATTATCGTCCCTCTCTTTCATACACACACGCACACACACACACCGTGCGTAATAACTAGTAATAAAAAATACGTATGCATTAATAAAAAGTGTATAATATTACGTTAAAATAAGATAAATAATGATATTGTACTACCTATTTATATACCTATATTAATAATAATATTATAATAAACGAAAACGCAAAACTCACCCAGACGACAGGCTATTTGGCCACATAAGATGTCGATGACACCTGCAACGAGAAAAAAAAAATATTAATATTGCATATGATTAAAAATAAAACCATTAAAATGTACAAAGAAAAAAAAGAAAGAAACTCAAATAAATATAAATATGCGTTAAAAGTATATAACGGCCTTTTGTGTTACAATAAATAGATGTAGATTTTATTAAAATTATTATACATATTGACCGCAGTTTCTGTACACGGAAATTACCGTAGACCCCAAGGGAAACGAAATATTAAAAACTAAAAACGAATTTTAACCGAATTACAAAAGAATAGAACAAAATCTAAAATAAACAAACCCGGTATTCTCGTGAAATTGCATAGGTGTAGTTTATGCTATATGTTTTTCCTAAAATTTTAAGAAAAACTCAATGAAATTTTGTTTTCAGAAAAAATGTCGCGCTTGAAAATCGTAGCGAGATCACTATAGCAGAGAAGTCGTGTACTGAAAAAAAAACATCTACACACGGGAAAACCGAAATCTAAAAAAAAACGAAAAAAAATAAATAAAATTAAGACGGTAATATTCGTAAAGTTAAAAACCAAACGGTTTTATTGATAGAAAAAAAAAAAAAAATTTAATTTTTAGTACGATACGATATTATAAAACACGGATTGTATTACCAACGATTGTACACGGAAAACGGTTAAGCAGCAACAGCCGCGGGAACTTTTGCAATAATAACGCGCGTACGTTAAAACGGATTTCGTATTCGAAAACACGATTGCCGGTCGGTAATTAACGAAAATCTACAATTCGATACGGTATTTCAATAATAATAATAATAATAATAATAATAATATTATTATTATTATTTCCGACGATTGTACAGTGTACACAGCGAGACACTCCCGAGACGACGGTACGCGACGTAATAGTATTAAAAACCGAAAGGTATTGGTATATATATATATATCTTAAAAAATTATCGAGTTTTTTTTTTTTTCATTTAAGACCTTGTTATTGACCTCATATAGGGTGCGATATAATAGTAATTACAACGATTGCGCGCGTATAGCTCGTATAATACCCGCGTGTGTGCATAACGCGTGATGTACAATACGAATTGGAGTACTCGAATTAAGCGGCTACTTTACAAAAAAAAAAAAAAAAAAACCGTTGTCGTCATTGCATAATAAAACACCGATACGCGGACGAAACGNATAATACCCGCGTGTGTGCATAACGCGTGATGTACAATACGAATTGGAGTACTCGAATTAAGCGGCTACTTTACAAAAAAAAAAAAAAACGATTACGGGATCGGGGCGATTTTCTGATTATATATCCGTGCAAATACTTTAATTATTATTATTCGTGTGTTTATTGCTCGTTATTAAAAAAAAAAAAAAAAAAAAACCGTTGTCGTCATTGCATAATAAAACACCGATACGCGGACGAAACGGATGGAAACGGCCGGCGAAAACGTTATAATAATGCGCATATGTTACGCGTCAATTGCGCGTCCCGTGGTCAATGACGTCAATGAGTCGTGGCGGTCGGATCGCGCGGTGTCAAGTGGACCGCGCTCTATTCGCGTAGGTTATGTGCGACGGTAAAGGTAGCGGAGGGATGCGTGTAGAGTGGATGCATCCGAATATCGGTTCCCGTCAGTGGCGCGCCCAGGATCGGGAGGGGGAGGTTAGGGGTTATACCCTCCCACGCGCCACTGGCCTGAAAACACAACAAAATACGAGTAATCTAATATCGAAACTCATAAACTTCGGCCGATTTCCGAGAAAGAGCTTGATGTATTGATGAGAAATTTGATTCATTTTTTTTTTTTTTAACGATCCGGCTTATAAATTACTAATTCCCATAGTCGAGTTGGGCAGAAAAGACGATTTGACTATTTTTTTTTCACTATTTTTATTGGTTACATCCTCTCCCATTGAAAATTCCTGGGCACGCCACTGGTTCCAATCGTTCGGTCGAATTCGGAAGCGCCGAACTTGGGGTACGGGTAGGGCGGACCGCACGACTAAATTTTTGGCGATGGTAGTATACGCGCAGTATGAGTAGTATTTGTGAAAAATGTTCCCGGTTAAATATGTGACGTTTCCGCTTCGGGTCGAATTTAGTTCCCACCGTTCGCAGTGTAGCGTGATGGTCAAATACCCACGTTTTCCCCTTCCCATTCTTACTGCACACTTAGGACTGTTAACTAAGAAGTGAATTTCTTAAACAACAAATAATACTAATAATAATTCAATTTAAAAATTTAAAATTTAAAACTACCATTTTAAACGTTGAAATGAAAGCTTGCAACGAGTGATAATAATAATAATCATAAAATAAAAAAAAATAAGGTGATAATTTGAAGCAAACTTTCTTTAAATATTGTGATCGTGTAAGAGTCCCGTTAACGTATTCCGTAATACGACGAAAGTTGAATAAAATAGTTTAAAAATGTTCTACATTACATCTAAATTTATTGTGCTTATTGTATTATACCACGGAAACCAATTCGGTTGACCTTCAAAAAGTAACTTTTTTTAAACGGGAACCAATTCGCGCGACGAAAAACGCAGAACGTCGATAAAATATAAGCCGCTCGAAAATCGCAGATGATAATTTCTGGTCTCTATGGCGATCTCTAACCGAATTAAAAATAAGAAAAGAAAAATGTAATTCCTCATTTGAATGCGCATTAACGGGAATGCCGACTTCTCAAACCGGCTCTCGCTTATTAACTTCAAAGTCCCTCGAAGAAACTCGCCAACGATGATCTCTGCAGCAGTGTTCGTATATATGTTTAATGATAAGATCCAAGTGTAAATTATTTTTGAGTTAGATGGAGTTCTCGATTTTATTATTTCCTACTCGGGCCACCGTCCGTTTTAACATAAATAAATAAACGAAATCGTTACTCAGTACTGAACGACATTGATGACTATTAATAAATAACTATTCTTTTGTTTGCATCCGCGACGCCTAGGTAACCAGTAAACACGTCGGAGAAATTAGATTTTCGGAACGAAAACTCCGTGTCAATCCGGGGTGTTAAATGTCGAGATGAAATGTAAATCTTCCCCAGTCGTTTCCAACGTCAATGCCGTCTCGTCGGGCAGTCCCGTCGAAAACCGGAATAAAACTGTAGACGGGTACGGCTGACGGACAGGACAGTATTTCCGCTTTTTCTAATACATATGAAAAGATAATAAATATTGAGTATATTGAACGTCGTACGTGCATCGTCGGCTACGCGGTCCGTCGAAACGGAAATAATAGAAAAACGACGACGTACATTACCGGACCGGACGACAGACGGTCGAGGGCGTTTTTGATAAGTAGCCACACACACACACACACACACACTCGATAACGACGTACATTACGATAGTAATAAGTACTAATACTATAATAATAATAATAATAATAACTCTTATAATATTAAACACGGGCGTACCGCATCTACCCGACAGGTACCAAAACGCTACCCGTAAACTTGTAATAATGATAATAATATAATACGGGGGTCGGTTGTGCGCGCTCCCGTATACCTGTCGAGTGGGAGGAACCGAAACTCTGTTATGTCACTATTATTACTATTATTATTATTATCGAATAGGAGGCGGAGTAGTCGTCGTCGTCGCGTCGCCGCGGTCCGCAGAAAAAAAAAAAAGAAAGAATAGAAAGAAAGAAAGGAAGAAAAAAAGAGCGTCGGACCACGTGTAAAACGATGAAAACGCCGGCGTCGTACCGACGCGACGAGGGCTCCGCGGAAAAACGGCGTCGACCGCTGCGGACGCGCGACGCGACGACACCGCACAGATAAACACGTGCGAATTTCGCAAGAGTAGCGGCCTCGCGTGTTATTATCGTTCGCTGTACGGCAGCCGGACCATTACAATGCGCGTTTTCCGTGTTTATTGTCGTTGTTGTTTCGTGCATCATAATAGCCGTGTAGGCGTAAGGTGGGTAGTACCTCGTGCACGTACGACAATAATATTTACATACGGCTGTCATCGCGGGCCCCGACCTTCCCGGAACGCATATTTTCTGGACGCCGAAACAACAACACAATACGTACGACGGTGTAAAGATCGCGCATCGCGGTCCGACCTTATTATTGTTATTGTTATCGATATAAACGCAACAGACGCGGAGGTGTACGAACCCGACGAGATTCGGCTCGGGACGTGTCGCGTTACCGTACGTTATTATCGCGATTGCGGGCGACGACGACGACGTCGTCCCGAGAGCGAAACTCCTTGATTAGAGTATTGTGCGCGCGTCCCCTCTGTACGGAGTGCGTTCAGCGGCCGCGGTTCGGGGTCGGCAAGGACGGTTTTCGGAAATCGTGTAAAAACCGTGTGCCCGCGAACCGATTGGGTTTTATTTTCGGGAGACCGGGGTTAGGGTTTCGAACAATTGTGTTCCGTTGAAACGAGACCTTAATGCCGTCTCGCTGTCTTAGTGCGCGTGTATACAGTCGGACGATGGAAACACGGCACTAACAAACAAACGAAATATAACTTATACAGTATCTTCTTGGCGTTCCATTCAGCCCTCTGGCGTCATGGCGTCAGGATCTATAGGACTGCCGGCCGTAGCCGGTCCGTTTAATCGATTCTAATCAGCCGAACATCTATTTTTAAGTCACCGGGCGCGTGATATAAATTGTTCAATGGCTTCGCATTCCGCGAACAGTTTTTAGCAATGTAAATAACCTTGGCTACTCAATGGCGCACGCGAGATTTTTCAACGGGGAGGGGGGGGGGTTGCTTGAAAATTGATAATTAATCAGTTGTTTTGTCACAAGTGTGAAAAATAAAGTAGTTGTATTCTTAGTTTTGACCGATAATAAACACAAAATATACAAAAAAAAAATGAATAAAAAACTTTAATATTTATATAGCTATAAAAATGTAAAATACAATTTTTAAGCTAGTAAAGCCAGGGGCCAATCAAAATTAGAATTGTACGCATTGTGGGTTGCATAACTTAACTATTTTTTTCTTCAGAATAAAAATTGAAAAATATTCCGTCTTTGTTCTGCCATAATGAATAATTAAACAGTTTTTTTAGTGTGCAAAACTGTGAGATACGTATTATATAAAAACAAGGACGAAAAATCTAAGTATAAAAAATATTATTACATTGACACTGAAGAGTGAAAACAAAATTGTCTACATAATTGTTTTTCACTAATTAAAGGTTATATTATTATTATCTACAACATCCGTGGACTAACTTAACGATGCATTAATTGTTGGTAACATCAGTTCAGTAAGTTCAATATTGCAATCATAGATATTATCTAAGGTTGCTTGGGCATGTGGTAGTTCTCGTATGCACAATAACACCAACCGCCAAAGTTGTAATAATAAAAAAACTATTGTTTATAACGAGTGTCACAACATTTAAACAAAAATAATAATCTTATAAATCTAATAATATTTTATTCTGTGATAATATAGGAAGGTTATTAATAGATAGCGGTAGTAAATTAATTAATTTACTTACGAAAATAGTGTATTTTATGAAATATTGTATAAATTATTATCACAGTTGAAACTTGAAAAATATAAAAAATATGTACGTATAATACATGTATGTATCTATTGCTTGGTGCAAGAAAGGCCAATGTCAAATTTTGTGATGATTGCAAAATGGGCTTTGAAATTTTATTTTCCCATAAGGCTCAGTGTATTTTATTGAATGTTTGTGTAATTTTCAATTTTTACAAAAACTTAAATAAAATATTATTTAGAAAATAAATAATTGTAAATATTTTTCTTTTATTTCTAACTGATTTTTAAAAAAGTCCCCCCTTCATTGCGTACGCCACTGTGGCTACCGATATTATGATTTTGGTTCGAATTCGATCAAAAACATTGAGATTCGTTTTAATATTTAATATCCCGAATTTCAACATTTTTTGTATCATAACTATAAAAAAAAAAGACCAATAGAGAGGTTCGACACTCAGATGCCCCCCTACGATTATGCTTCTGAGTGTGTTAGCATGGCACGTGTATGTCGGGTTCACCCTATAGGACAGTACTCGGTCGGGTTACTAAATTGAGTCGCTGAATTTTTTATTTTGTTTTTTTAGAACAGTCAATCACTATCTTATCATCTGCACTCGTGTATAATTATTACAATACACTAGACTTTCCGCTAGCGAAATCTATTGCCGAAGACTAACGAATCGTCGTTATTTTACTAGACGTCTATAATTGGGGACTTATACGGTCAAATAGCGGTTATCTATAATGATTATTAGAATATACTTATATTTATATCTTGTTATACACCCATACTTTGTGTAGGTATAATCGTTTTTGAGACGACGAGCGTACGGATTAAATCGAGTTTATTACGTCATGTTATTAATCCGTCGACAAATAAACAAAACGAGTGGGTACTCAAAACGGAAAAATACAAAAAAAAAAAAAAAATACAAAATAAAATAGGTTTACTGTATCAGTCCGGTAAGCCCGGTTAGTCGAGGGAACTTTGATATAGATAATAATAATATGATGATGGGTTTATTTTTTTGTGTTTTTATTCACTGCAAAATAAAAATTCTATAGAAATAATACTGCGCGAGATTAAGCACGAAATATTTCCATTATCACGAGACAGTGCTGCCTACGAGTTCACCGCCTCTTCGAGAGAGTGATTTTTTTTTTCGAATTAAATTAGTGAAAACAGATTAGATGGAGTTTTTTTTTTAATTCAATTAGTAATCACGAATAGTTTCGATACGTATATATTGTTATTCCCTCGCCGGGATTGTTAAAATTTGTATAATTTTAGATTTTAGTTTCGTATAGCGTCAAAAGTGAAGCGTACAAAAGAAACAACTGTTAAAAACGAAATAATAAGACGTAGAACCCGAAGATCGTTTTTTTTTTCTTTATAATACAAATATAAAACATAATATTGACAATAAAACATATTATGTTCGGCTTGTTTTGCCGGTAATAAAAATAAAAACGTGTCTCCCCGTGTAACCAAAGGATATCCGAAGAAAAAAAATAAGGAGCGAGTTGTTCATATTTTAAGGATAAATTTCTTGTGTGTGCCTCACCGCGTTATATGGGGGGTGAATTTCCCGTTAAACCCGCACTCTCATAATACTCTTGCAGCAGGAACTGATATGCACAAATCGCGATAATTTCTACCGAGTTTTTGGTGTTTATAAACCATAACGCCAGCGACACTGCGTCGGAATGTCTGTATTATGTATGCCAAGGCTGGGTAAGTTAAATTTAAATTTATATAAAATTAACAATTAAAAGTTATTTTAAAATAATCTATCAATCCAATTAAGTTAAATGTTAACCAAAAGTTAAAATTAACTTTTTTAACTTTTTAGGTTTTTAACTCAAGTCAAGTGAATTAAAAAATAAAATGTATATATTGTCTATACTATATTGGTCTAATAATTTACCTACAACTCCCAACTAGCGATAACAGTAAGAAATAACAATTCATATTTTAAAATGTTTATAATACATTAATACATAATAATACATTGATAATAATAATAATAATAATAATAACAATAATAATAATAATAATAATAATAATATATTTATTTTAACGAGCATACAAATAAAAATTAAAATCGACTTAACTTGTTTAAATATAAAATAAACTCTAGTTAAATAAATGTTAATTCTTTTGTATCTCTCAAGCTAACAATTAAGCCAATAATTCAAAGAACATTAATTGACGGAGTTAAAATGTTAAATAAACTTAATTTTTTAACTTTTTAATGCCCAGCCTTGATGTATATCTTTATTTATATTACATATAGATAAACTAAAAGGTATTTGATATTTGTTTTATATTATGTTATTATTATTACCGGTATAAAATAAAATGTCCTTTTATACATTATAAAAGGTGCACAAAAAGGGGAAGAACCGTGCGTGAGGTCTTTGGAACGATTGTCCTTGGAAATTACATTTAATGGACGTCCGACACGGTTCATAATGTACAGTTTTCGATTGTCGGCAAAATTCATCAATGCCACACTACTATATAACACACATGCGTATTGTGTATGGATAATGTATAGGTACACCCATACAATATTATGAAGGAACTGTACAGTATAATAATATTATATATTTTCCGTTCTCCGCACGTCGGTGAGAAAAAAAAAGAAAATATATATTATACCGGCGTATACAGGACGATGTTATTACGTCTAATTGAATTTTAACTTATCGATTTTGCCGCATAAAAAAAAAAAAAATATAATCACCCCTCTCAACACCCTCTCCCCGGGATTAACGGTACACACAATACGGTATATTTTACAACTCCGTGCTGCGTACCTATACGGTATTCGCGTGTGTGACTATATTGATTAATGTTTACGTTTATCGGAACCAAACTCGACTTAATACCTATATGGATAATAACGTGGCAAGAAAATATCGGCGGACCAAAGGACGAAAATCTGTAATAAACGGAACCCTCAATATATAACGAGTATATAAATATATATATATACATAGGTACTATTGTAAGCACACTTTTGTACGCGTCTCTTTTTCTTCTTTTTCTCGGTATTATCGTTGTAAAAATTCTCGCATCGCGTGTTATTGAGAAGTTTACGATATGTAATTGTATAGTATTTATACGTTATGTCGGATAGGTATGCGTACAGACGAATAGATTGTATCGTGAAATAATAATAAAAAGTATCGGTCACGAGAAGGGCCTGGTTCGTACGCGTTCATAATGCTATAAGCGTATGATTTTTGTACGATCTATTGTAGAAATATATTCTTTTATGTTATGTTCGAATACTACGACGTTTGAAAAAAATAAAATTAACGACAGTTAATAAAACAAAATTTCAAAAGCCATATAATAATGATAATATGATAATATTTGATAATGATAATGGCCATTGATAATATTTTAAACCGTTAAAAAGTACTCAAAAAACGTATGATATAATAAAATACATCATTTTTGATACTCTGTGCGTGTGTGTTTGTATACCTATATAAAGCAACACTTATCAACAGTACTAAAAAAACAAAATTAACACATTCAAAAACGAACAAATACAATTTTAAATTATATGTATACAAAACAGTATGATCATGCGTATAATAACGGATTCTAATTCCAACTTTTTAATGTTTTCTGTCAATAAACAGTTTAATCGCAAAAACGGCGGCTAAACCGAATAATCTGTTTAACCGCGCTGCTTGATAATTGGCTTTTCAAACGACGGCACTTGAACCTTGTAATAGATAATTCCAACGGTTGATTTTGACTTTGACCCGCAGTATTCCGTTCGGCTTTCAGGCTTTTATCTCGTCTACGGAAAACCGATTTACGCGACGTCGCATAACACGCATGTTACGTTACGGAACCCGAATACGGCCGGTGAGGGGGCGGGCGGACCGAAGCCCCGCAGCCTCCCGCTGACGCGTCCGCGTGTACGGCTCGTACGCAGGGGCAACGCCGGAGACATTTTTTTTATTTTTTTCGGGGGGTTAAGTCATATTTCTCCGAAAACCGCGTAACAAAAAGCATATTTTATGTTTCGTTTCGTACGCGGCGTGGACAATACCTCGAACCGCACACTTCAGCGTATATGTATATATATATATATTTATTTTTTTTCCCTGTAAATTTGTTTTTTTACCCTGAAATACGGCTCCTGGCGTCCCCCAGCGCCGAGCCGCCCCTGCTCGTGTACGCGGCCCGCGGCAGTCCGCGGTGCACGACGCGAGCGCGGTAACACCGTCGCGCGTCGCGTTTGCGTATTGTATTATAACGCCGTCGCGCGTCGCGTATAATATAATTTAATAACGCTATAATAGAACAGTATTATCGTTATAACGTTATGGTTATAATATTATACCGGCGGCGGCGGCGGAGCGATGGCGGCGCGGCGCGTACGCGAAGCTCCGCGGCTCGTCTGGACGGTGGGGCGGTGGGGGGGAGGGGGGGTGTGGCGGCGATGATAGGGAACGGCGGCGGCGGCGGCGGCGGGTGCGCCGGTCTAGAGGGGGAATTTCCCCCCCGGGATCCATTGTCGCGGCGCGTTGCCTACGAACGCGGCAATATTGTTATACAATACGCGCGTATACGCGCCGCCGCCGTTGTTATTGTTTCGTTCCGTTTTTTTTACACCCCCTCCGCCCGGCCGGCCGCCCGGGTTTTCGACGGCGGCCGAAACAAAGAAACCCGGCGCGGTGGGGGAGGGAGAAAAAAAAAAAAAAAAAAATTAGCCTCCCGATACGGTATTACATTATGTTTTAACGCCGCGTACAACGCGTACGCGTACGCGTATGGCTGGCGGCGGATACGTCGCGTCGAGCAGCTGCTTTCGCGCGCGTACGATAAATAATAATATCGCGTACGCGCGCGCCCCGCAACAATAGATGCGCTCGGCAGGGGTAAAACGCGAGCGAGCGCGCGCGCGCGCGTAACATCTCGTCGACCGCGCGCGGCTCCCGAGAGCCGGTTTTGCGCGGTCCGCCGGACGGGGCGGCTGTACCCCCACGACGGCGTCGCTGCTGAGCGCAATCGTCGCGCGTACGCGTTACGCGCCGATAATTACGATATTATTAGGCGCGCGCGCGTTTCGCCGGCGCGACTCTCGGTAAACGGTTCGCCGCGTTGCCGACCAGAAAAAAAAAACACAAAAAAAAAAAAAAATCAAATACACGCGTGAAATTATCGCGTCCGATCTTTCGACTGCGCGCCGTATAACCTGACCCGGAGTCAGGATAAACGCCCGTAACACTGCTATACTATTGGCCGGTTACTCGCCAAAACGTTTTGTCTACTGTATACAGCGATATTTATTTTTTTTCGTTCGGTTATAGCGAATAGACCTTATCAGTAGATGATTATCAGTGGCGGCGCTGGGTGTGGCGGGGCTCTGGACAGTGCTTTAGAATAACTAACGATTGTGTATACCTACATAATAATATACCGTGGGGCCCATCGAAATCAAAACAAACGCCGGGGCCCCGGACTTATGTTCCGTGTGTCATCTTCTAGCGCCGGCACTGATTATTATGGCAACCGAGTATGTACGCGCAGGAAACGTGGTCGGCAAATGTTTGCTGATTCCGGTGACCCGGTTGTCGAAAAGTGCATTCGGCTATCTTCAAACAATTACCGCAGTAAACTGTGTCGCCAAAACAGTTTGTTCACATAACTTTATAGTAACCATCGGGTTGCTCAAAATCGCATCGCCAAAACACGATGTTCCTGACTACCATTGTTAACGAAAAACGATTCTGAGCAGAGTTCAGTTGAAAGTGTTATTTTTTTAACAATACACTGTAAAATATACGACGTCATAATATTATACAGTAAAATAATTACATGTGCATTATATAGTTTCTTTTATAATATTTGTTTAATATTTTCCAGATTTTCTACGTTCTTTCCGGTTTTTCAAATTTATCGGGAAAATAAAAAAATAACTTCCTTAATGCACCTCCCAGGCCGATTTTTTTTCAGATCGTAGCAAGATTTCTGATAGAAAAGTTGTCCACAGAAATAAATAAACATCATTGTAAAACCGATGCGTTCCTCGGTCCGCTCAGAATCTAAAATAGGGAATCGCCGGTTTTCATACGGCTGTCCACCCGGTCGAAATGATAACGCCTTTGGCCCCGGTTCGGGGAGCCTAAACGAAACGGGCCCGCGGTACGTTGCCCGCCGTGTTACCCTGTCGATACGTCCCCAGTGAAAAAAACCAAGGTGCCTTTGTTTTACAATTTACGGTAAACGCTTTACCGCGAGGGAAAACGGTATAAGGTGTGTACAGTACACCCGTAAGCGAATAAAAAAAATATAATAATAAATGTTTCAAAAAGCCGACGTGTACCGGCGACCGGGATTATGAACGAACCGAGCGTGATATTATACGGAAAGTGAAACGCGCGGTGTACACGAGTAATTATCTCGGGGTTAATGATGAAAATCGGATAATGTCGGTTTTCCGTTCGGTACTTAAGTGGATATATTATATTTTTTTAAGCGATATGCGGCGGGTTTTAAATTATAATATTTCCCGTGTCTTGAAATATCGACAAAAAAAAAAAGCCATCGTATGCAAATACGGATTATATTCTATTACCTTAAAGTTTGATAACAGCCAATCCACTCTAATTGTTCAAATTACAACAGCTTCAAATCGGATACGCACATTTGACATTATCCGATTACCGACATTAGTCCCAACACGTTATTAGTATACAATAAACTGCTGCAGGACGGATTAAAGTATAATAGTTATATATATATGTGAACGATTCGCTCGGAATTTAAAACGCGAAGAATCAATGTAATATCAATATTGATAATATTTACCGAATTTAGTTTTTTATTTCACCGATCGTTAGTTTAGGTTTTTTTTTTCAACTCGGTTAAAATAAATTTAAATTCAAATAAAGTTAACGGTTAAAAGTTGATTCGATATTATCTATCAATTCTCCAACTAAGCTAATCGAAATGTAAAATTAACTTTAAACTCGAGTTAAGTCAATTAAAAAAAATGTACATATTTTTTATTGTCCATACTGACTGCTACTATAATGGCCTAATAATTTACCTACAACCCACAACCGATCACCGAAAATCCGCGCTGTCCACGTGCGTACGAACGGCGTACCGCTAATCGGACACGTCCGCGGTCGACCAAATTCACGCCCCGGGCCGATTACCGGAATCCGCACTTTTTCTCTGCTATCAATATCGGAGAAGAATAAAAAAAAAACAAAAACAACGTTCATCCTTCTCAATCGATTTATGTTCAATATAAATAAAATTAATATTTCGAGGATGTACGATGTACACGACAAACATCGATTGTTTTTTTTTTTTCACACAACACCAGAACCGCGGGGAGCTGAGCGCCGTCTTATCAAACTCGTAGGGGGGCTGCGGCCACGGAGCCCACCTGTACACGGCGCCCCTGAACGAGACCGATAGATCCGCGGGGAGTGTGGTCGGCCATTTTTTTTTTTTCGAGACCGTCAAACCGCGGCCACAGTCGTCAAAACGGCCGCTGCGGACACTAAATACGTATGTACATATATATAGTGTACAGTATGACGGTACGTCCCGTTTTGAACGGGACACACCCCGTTTTTCGCACTCTTGTACCGCTGTCTCCGCAGGAGAATCTCCGGGGGGGCACTAAAACGTCTCGCTTTGATAACGCAGACAAAGATATAACGAAAACCCATTTTGCACCGTTGGATACCATAATTGTTACAGGGTTTTCGAGACGACAGCTATTTAAACCACACCGCATCGTTGAGTATGTTCTGTGCTCGTCCGCCTCGAATGCACCAGTCGAACGAATCTTTTCATCGATTCAGCTCTCAGTTTTAAAAGCGATGCTGCAGTTTTAAAATAATGTTAACTTTGAAATTTCTTGTCTAGAATTGTACTCGTTCCTAAAGCCATCAACGGTAAATATACAATAGTCCGCAATGTCGTTTACAATTATGAAATGAAAACGATGATGAATTTTTTTTTCTTGTCCCGTTTAAAACAGAAAAAAAATATATATATGTACGACCACCTTGAGTACAATATACCTTATGGTTTTACAGCGCTCCCTGAGTTCATTTTTGAACTCTCGTCGTATAGCCGAATAAATTCACGACGAAATGTTTAAAATATTTCGTGTTGTACAAAGGTTGCAACGCGAAAATCTGACGCCCGGGATGACTCTCAGTTTGTTTTTTTAATCGCTTGGCCCCTCCCCCCCGCCCATACTTTCTAACATATTTGACATTTCTAATTAAATGTATACATCACCTACACGTTGAAATAAACAAAATTGAAACAACGGATCTTTCGTCGCCTAACAAACAACCAACACGAGGTAGGTGTACCTACTTAAAAACACGAAAACAATCAACAAAAACGTACAAAATAATACAACAAAAATCGCGTATGATAATAAAAATCAATACGCAACAGTATAACAGCAATTGCTCATCTCGCCGTATTTATTTTATTCGGCCCAAAATCTGCGGGCAGTGGGAAGGGGGCGCTGATGTTGGATTTAGGGCGTCCGCTGCCCCCCCCCCCTCCCTCCCTCCCGTAAGTGTGCGCCAACGCTACAAGCCCCGACCCGTCGCGTACACGCCGCGCTGCGTTTACTCGGTCCGCGCGTCGCCCGGCGGCCGGACCGGTACGGAACAGACGCGCGAGAGCGGGGCCGCGGCGGCGTGCTCACGAATAACGTCTTCCCGCTTACGCGCCGGCCGGCCGCGATAACATTGCGTACCCGCGTTTTCACCGGCGCGCGCCAATTATTACGTTTTTAATTCGTACCGCGCGCAACATCGCGTACGTTTGTCGCGCGGTCGTCCCGATAACGCGCGTACACGGAACGGTTATCGCGGCAATAGCGGGGCCGACAATTTGGTGGCCGCGGTCCGAATCGTAATCGACACGCCGCGCCCGCGGACTTTTCACGCGGATCCCGACCGCGCCCGTTACGATGGAACACAATGATAACGACGCGCGGCGAACGTCATCCCGTCATGCCCGGAGCGTTTCCCACGCTCGAGGCGAAACGAAAAAAAAAAAAAACCACATAAAAATACGACCCGCCCGGTCAATGTGCGGACTTTCGCGGTCGTCCCACAATCACAGATAATGATTACGGCAACACCTTCGGTCGGGTTGGTTGGCTACGCAATGCAATGGCAACGGGCTGTCACACAAGCACGTAATAATATTATAATGCGCACAACCGAAGCCGTTTCTGACCTCCGAACCTCCGAACAGCCGATCTCAACCGGCGTTCAAAACGTTCGGTCACGAGGCCAATCGCCTCGGCCATCTCTGCTGCGGATCATTGACGGCTGACAGCGCGTACAAAAAATACCGTATACTGTTGGCCGCATAAATAAAACGCGTACATTATGGCATTGTTATCGTCGCGGCGTAGGAACGAAAACCGTAGAAAAAAAAAAATAATAAAAATATATGCTCGATCGCCGATTTCGCGACGCGGGGGTGTCGGAGGACGCGCGGTTTCCTTTACCCTAATTTCCCCGCACCCCCCTTCCACCAGTCCGCCCTTGTATTTTATCGCATCGTGTCCGCGACCGGTGTCCGCGCGGCGGACCATACCCTCTTGTCGTATACGGCGATTATTATGCCGTTTCGCCCGGACGGCAAAGGGGCGCCAAGCCGGCGGGGAGGGGGGGGAGGTGAGGCGCGGGAGCAGTGGAGGGGAGGCCGAGCCTGAAAGGGTTGGATTTAACGCGCGCGCGAGCGCATATTGTTATTATTACGGAGGAGGAAAGGAAATTTCGTATAACGGTACGGCGGCGGGGAGGGGGGGGGGGGGTGGCGTATCGTAAAAAAAATACGCCGTTGTTATATCCGTTGACGGACGTAAATTCAACGTTGAAAAACGACGCGCGGTGTTGCGGCGAGTTACGACGGGAAAAATATTCGACTCCGCGAGAACCCCGCCTCCCCATCCCAATCACCGGTTCCGTCGCCTTTTTTTTTCATTCTTTTTTTACGCCACGATTACTCGCGCGTGTTAAAATCTACGGTCGGACTCGACAATGCACGCTATCCGCGTCGTTATCGCGCTATCGTTTTTATTGTTGTTATCGTTTCGGGCTTTTGGTCCCCTCTCGGCCCCCGTGATAATATTTCGAATAATCGTATACGCGACCGTCGTAATTGTCATACCTTTGTGGACGCGACGCAGTTAAAGTGATCGCCGAAACTACGCGTCGACGATAATGGTGTCGCGGCCACTATGTAGACAATTGGAGAAACAAAATAAGCACACGCTCCCTGGTGAACAAAATCTCAACCACTCGTAGTAGGTTAATCATATTGTTTTGTATACAATTTAACGCGTTTTTATACCTAAACGCGCACTTGAATATGTTCACGTTTAGTTATGTTATATTAGGTGTAGAATCGATGGAAAACAATCAGTGTATATATTTTAGTAAGTAGGTTGAGAGGTAAAGAGGTGTTTCTAAATTGTCAATTGTCCATGTAAATCATTCGGTTTTTGGCTGTTATTCGGTGTATTCAATTGTTTACGCCACTGACTACATCACGCCACGCCACTACTGCACTCGCCCATGTATATGTTTATTTTGTTAATAACGAACTTAAGCAACAATAAGTAAAAAGGCTCGACTAAAAATAACCGCAGTTACAACACTTAGATTACCAGTTATCAAGTTTTCATAAATCTCCGAAAAAAAGACCAAGTCCTCAGAAAAGATTTAATGTCAAAACATTATTCCTAGACGAGAAACACGAGTTGATTTATTAGTAATACAACGGAAATATATAAACAGTTTTCTTTGCCATTTCTTAATTAAACCGCGTTAGTATTTTTTCACACAATATTATTTGTTTGCGTTTGAAAACTTGCCCTCCTTCGACGCATTTCCAGAGTACGTTTAGCATACGTAAATATTTCTCCAACAGTGAATGACACGCTGTTATCGACTCAGTAACTTATTGTCGAAAAAAACAAACGAAACACGTACTAAACATTGTAACTCGCGATTACAACGTTTTTACGATCCTACTCCGAATCGGCGGGGGAACCGGCATCCGTAATTGTCACTAGCGCTCCTTTTGTTGATTTGCTATTCCAATAGTAATAATATTGTACGGCACGGTATTGTCGCGACGCAGTATTTATCGTGTTTATAATAATTATATCCAATAAACAATAATAGCGGCCGCGGTCGAAACGCGACGCGGACCGTTACATCTGCAACTGTCGTAGTGTTATCCGAAGCCACAGTATAACTCTGTCGGCGTGCGTGCATTCGTTCCGGAATCTTTTATTATTTTTTTTCGTTAAACGTAATACGATAACGGACGACATTCAATCCCGCCGGGAACAAATAATCCGTCGCGTACCGGCCGTGTTAAATGTCACGGGTGTTCGCGTAAGAACCGATAAATATTTATCGGCGCGAAGAACGCGGCGCAATCGCGAACGGCGGCCCCGTCGGGAAGATCGCCTCCGTCGACCGACGCTCACGTGAAAGGGCGTTTGGCGGAGGGGCGGGCGGGCGAAACACGTCGCGGGCCCGCGGCCGATCCAGGACAATCGCCGGCGGGGAAATACCGTCGGTGCGCCTAACCATTTCGACCCGAACATTATGTTCGTTACGGGCGCGCATTTTTTCCGTGACCGATCAACAGCGCGTACTCTGAACGGGAAACGTATAAAGCGCCGAGAGACGCCGTCGGCGACAAACCGCCACGCGAATTCGTCGTCGTAATGTGTAGTACACGCGCCCGAGCGGATCGGTGACGGGGCAGCGTCCCGCTCGCCTCGACCCGCTGGCGAGCCGCCGCGCCGCGGACAACGGACGCCGACAACGCTAACGCCGTAACTGCTACGGCATAGACAATATTAACTTTGATAACGGCAACGTCGAGATATCGATACACTTGCGCCGGTACGAATAACGACATCGATTGCATTGTCACCGGCGATGCAACAACGGAATCCTGAAACCTGTTAACGACACGGTCTAAACAAGTGTTGCGGGTTAAAATAATTTTTTTTTTTTTTGTACACAGTCGCCGTTATCGCGGTGTTTGGACGGAACGCGTTCGACGATTACGCGACTTTTTTGCGTTCGTTTTCGATTGAAAAACCAAAAAAAAAAAACAATAAATAGTCATAACAATATATTATCAACGACACCTAATAATATTGGATTACAATCTTAGTCGGCGATTGCAATTCGGATTTCAGCGATACCGGTATGTAGCACGGCCGCAGATATGAGATAACGAATGTGACTCCGAGACACGGTCTTAGAAGATACGGTACGCGATACGGTAATTTTCGATGTCTATTGAGATTTTCTGGCAAAACCGAACGGCGTTCACCGTCGGACACCAAATACTGGATATCACTATAGTTGATTGGGCAGATTTTTTTTTTTTTTTTTTTTGCTAGGCATTTTACCTATATACCATATTTACTCCGTTAATCTTAATAATGCAAATAATTTTTATGAATTCGTGAACTCGTAAACAGACGGTATTTACGAATAAAATAACTATTATAGTTTGCCGATCAAATGGGCGAGTAGTCAAACCCGAGGGATGCCATTTTTATTAAACCTCGATACATATCGACGGTGTTTTGTTAAGTCTATCAAATTCAGAAGCAAATAACAAACAGAAAAACATTTTTTTTTTTTCTAATGTTATTTACTATGGAAAACAATAAAACTATTCGTACACGTCATAATACTTTAGTATACACGCACTGAACGTGGTATATTCGTCCTCTTAACAGATCAGTGTTGATTTAATTATATTTCAAAGGGGCGCCCGGATATATTTTAGTCGACGTTACCAACCTAATTTTCCGTATTTAAATACGCCCTTTTACCAGTTTATGTTCCTAATTTTTCTGTTTTTTTTTTTTTTTTTTTCATACCGAAAACGTATGTTTCGGTTTTTAATGGTATACGCCCTTTTAACAAAAACCATCGACACACGCAAGATTTATAATTCCAATCGAATGCAGAATATCGTATATCGGTGTACGTTCTAGTCCATAGAATTAGATTGATAACTTTACTGATTTGAAACAAACAGTAGATTCGTCTTTTCGTCCGTCTGAAAGTCGGGCACCTAAATAACGCTATCGCCACGCCGAATAAACCACACTATCGCATAAACCGAAATCGAAATGTCAGTTTTTTTTTTTCGTAATATACTTATATGTATATATATATATATATACAGGATACGCCGCGGTTGTTATTCGAAACGATATGGCATTATTATATTATTAGTGTAGTATCACCTACCGGTCCAGTTACAATCGGGAGAAACGCAAAAAACAAAGAAATTGTTTTAAAAAAAAAAAAAAAAACACTTACGACAACATCGTGCGGCGCGCGCTTCGGTGCCGCGGCTGCCGTGAGAATCGCAGACGAGAAACGTCCGGGACGAAAAACAAAGAAAAAAAAAACGAACGGCGCGGATCTTCGAGCGTGATCACGGCGTGGAGAGCGTAATTTTTTTTGATAAAAAAAAAAAACCATCGACCGTTCGAATATTTTACCGCGTACGGGCGAGCTAATGTGTCGTAAATATTATCGAAACTCGCGGCGGCGGCGGCGTTGCCCGGACGGCTGAGGAGGACCTCGACAAAGACACCGGAGCGCGCGCGCGACAAGAGTGCGTGTCCTCGCGTCACCGTCGCCGCCGTAATAGTATTTTACACGTGTAAAAAACGATTGCCGTTCCCCACCCCGCGCATATCGGTCGTGTGTTACGCGGTAGTATATATTTATACAGGGCGTTTCCGCGAAACACGTCCTACGCCGAGCACTGCAAGAAGTGACCGACGGGGATATTTTTCAAAATCCGTTTCCTCCTCTGCCCCTCCCCCGCCGGTCGTTCACTCCACGTTCGCGTTTAGGATTCAGCCGCTCCCCCCTCCGCTCGAGTTTCGTACACATAAGTCTATTTTTTTTCGTTCCCACAAGCCCCCCCCCTAAATTTGGCCTCGCCCGCGGGTTTTTTAAATAAAAAAAAAAAATGAAACATCAATTCGGAACGCCGACGTCGCGCGCGGCGGAAAAGTGCGTCAAAGTCTGCAACGGCTACGCGGTTGGGCGGGGGAGGCGTAAATAATATATCGAAAACGAAACGAATTTTGAATATAAAACGCGGGCGTAATGTGTTTTCGGACGATTTTACACTTGAAAAAAACGAAAATGATTAAATGGTGCCGCGGTTTTTTTCGCAAAGTCCCCGTCCAAATCGATACGTATTTTTCTTCCCCCCCCCCCCCTTTTTTTCCCC